TGTGTGTGTGTGTGTGTGTGTGTGTGTGTGTGTGTGTGTGTGTGTGTCAGTACAGATATGGTGGTCAGAGGGCAACTTGTGGGGGTCAGTTCATCCTTCCACCACCATGTAGGTCTGTCCCAGTGTGTTTTTCTGTTGCTCTGATAAACACTATGACTGAAAGCAACATGAGATCCAACTGCCTCTGCCTCCCAAATGCTGGGATTAAAGGTGAGTGCCATCACCACCCAGCTCAGCTTGATTTCTTATACAACTCAAGACCACCTGCTCCCTGTGAGATGAGCCTGGGCCTCCCAGGCTCAAGAAAATGCAGGGCTGTCACCACCTCAAGGACCCATGCGGGTGACATAGGATTCGTAACTAATTGGCAATAGGCCAGTTAGGTGGGAACATTTTCTCAATTGAGTGTCCCTCTTCCCAAATGACTCTAGCTTGTGTCAACTTGACATAAAACTAGTCCCCACAGGCTGGGGAGATGGCTCAGTGGTTAAGAGCACTGGCTGCTGTTCCAAAGGACCCAGGCTCAGTTCCTAGCATACAGCTCACAGTTGTCTGTAACTCCAATTCTAGGGGATCTGACACCCTCGCACAGAAATACTTGCAAGCAAAACACCAACATTAAATACACGAAAAATAAATTAATTAAATTTAAAAAAGAACCTAGTCAGCACAGGCAGGGTACACAGATAACCTCCCCCAGTTTCAGAACATATGTTTTGCCAAACCCTTTTGCATAAGTTAGATTTTATCACTGGAACACAATCCCAGAGGAAAACAACTTAATTAAGAAGAAAGGTTTATTTGACTCATGATTTCAGGGGTTCCAATACTTGGTCACTTAACTGTTGGTTCTAGGCCTGTGATGGAGAAGCAGAACTTCATGGTGGCCAGGAGCATGTGAGTGCCACCACCACCCGGCTCAGCTTGATTTCTTATACAACTCAAAATGGTGGACAGGAGGCAGAGAGCAAGGAAACGCAAGACTACCTAACTAGACCCCAGCTCCCACTCTCTTCCACATCACAATAATAACATCAAATTGTTAACCAACTGATGGATGAATGCAATAGGAAGACCCCAATGACTTCTCCATAGCACCACCAGCCTAGGGACCAAGCTCCCAACATATGGAGCTTAAAAAAATTTTTTTTTCTTTTTTGGTTTTTCAAGACAGAATTTCTCTGTGTAACATCTCTGGCTGTCCTGGAACTAGCTCTTTAGAGGAGGGTGGCCTTGAACTCACAGAGATCTGCTTGTCTCTGCCTCCCAAGTGCTAAGATTAAAGGTGTATGCCACCACCACCCAGCAAAAAAAAATTTTGAAGACACAGTCTCACTATGTACGCCTGCCTATCCCAGAATTCACTCTGCAGACCAGGCTTTTCCAGAACTCACAAAGATCTGCCTCCTGAGTATGGGGCTTAAAGGTGTGTGACACTACAATGGGCTTAAATGTTTTAAAACTATATTTAATTTTGTCTGTGCAAACGGGTGTGTGTGCATGGGCACCTGTGTGTCTGAGTAGGTTCCCTCCTTCCACCATGTACATCTCAGAGATTCTCAGGCATAGAAGCTGAGCCATCCCACTGGATCCATGTAAAGCCATTTAGAGGTCATGTTATACTCAGACCAAACCGCGACACCACCCTTTTCCACAATCTCTAAACCTACCTGAGCCTGGCAGGATCCAGCTCTGACACACACAGAGGCCACCGCACACACAGGACAAAGCATCAGGAGTCACCCTTACCCTCCCGCCTGATATAGTCAGGGTTGTCCATTGCCTGTGGCGGTGTCCTGGCAGAACAAGCCAGGCTCTAATCAAGGCCACCTCCTCCCCAGATTGCTGTGCTCTTCTGTGACAGAAAGCTCTGCTCCACAAATTCCAGGCCCTACAGCCTGTCACAGAGGTAGCAAATGGTCATGTGCTAACCCCCAAATGCACTTCCTCTGGCTTCAGGAGGCCAGGCTGACCCAGACTGTTCCATTCTATTTTCCATCCCGTTCTATCAGCTCAGTGCCAACTTGTCCTTCCCACTGTGACCTCTCCAAGAGGCCCACACTCCTCCTGTCACACACCGCAGTCACAGGGCTACATACAGGTAGCACACAGGACAGAGTGATCCTTGTCACATAGGCATGAACATATGTCCACACAGACACTAATTAGTGTGATACTAATCTCTCATACACTCAAACCTCTGACATGCAAATGAGTAGTCACAGATACAATGGGTTATGCAAAAACCAACAATGACAGGTGTGCTGTGAGGCAGGAACAAAGGATTGGCTGTCACAAAGAGGCAGGAGGGAAACCTGGATCCATAGCCATGGCAGCCACATTCTAGGTCACACCCAAAATCATGTAGTCACATGTCCACATAGCCCAAGCACCCCAGTACTACAGTCAATGTGTTCCATGCACTCACACACATATAGGTTCTAGAATACTTACATGCTGACAGCCACCCCATCTACCTGAAGCAGACACCCCATACACATACCTCACAAACCTGACAACAGTCGCCTCCAGTCCTCGAAACACCACAGCCCAGCATTACACACACAATGAATTCCATGCTTATCCACACCCCCCCCCCCAACTCCCAAGACTGGTCCAAGAGGGGAACAAAAGCCCAGTGCCCATTCCTACCGGCTCACTCCCCTCCCCTCCCCCCTGGCGTCCAGTCCCTTTGTCCTCCTGCAGCTGAGCCCAAGTGGGATTCTAGGGAAAGCAAGAGTAAAATCAGGAGCCCGGGCTGCTAGGCAAACAGGCAAGCTGGCAAGCAGCAGGCACAGGCTGGAGCTGTCTCTGCTAGAGCAATTGCAGAGTCCCTGGAAGAGGACGTGGCCAGGTAGGCACCAAGTACCTGGGTGCAGGGTTGAGTAGAGGACTGTCTTATTGTGGAAAGTGTCCACCCAAAGTGTAAGTGTGTGTGTGTGTGGGGTGCATAGAGTGAAAATGGGGGGGGGGTTGCAGCAGGATAGTAGAGTGCTGAGCCAGTTTCCACTGGCTGAGTCTGTCAGCCCATGAGCCTGCGTAGAGATGGGAGAATGCACACGGGATGCCAGGTGGGAATCCCCACCTTCCCCTGTGTCCTTGCCCCGCCCTCTCCATGGTGGGACTGCAGGGTAGAAACTGAGTCTCCCATCATCGTGTGTCCGGTTCTCTGGGCCTAGGGCAGTGGGTGGCAGTAGACTATGTCTTGGCAAAGTTCCTAGAAGGTGAACTTAGGCACCATCACAACAGCAGAGGGATTGTCCTCCTGAGACCTGCCTTCTTGAGTCTCAGCCTAGAGGGTAGCTTTGTCCTAGGCTAGCTAAGGGCAGCTCCTCTGCCTCTGATGAGCTGTCTCACTGGATTCCTGGTTGTTCCTTGAGGACACACCCCCACCCTGCCAAGTCTTGCAGAGGGGCTAGACTTAACAGCTTGGTGCATGGTGGGCTTGGGCTGGTCACCTCTACCTGAGCAACGGAGCTTATTTTGTGTGCTGCTGAAACAGGGGATCCGCTACTCAGCATGATCCTGCAGAAATTGTGAAAGCCAGGCTTATCTGCTCTGCAACAGAATATGGGAGAATGAAGGGAGAGGCATTGCCAGAAGCAGAGCTGAGCCTCCGAGTAAGTTCCCACAGGAAGGAGAGCACTGTCTAGCTTCAGCACAGTGTTGTCTGTGCGTTCTTAAGGACCAAATCCTAACCAGGGTGAACAGTGCAATCTGTGGTGTGTTTTCATAAGCTTTTCTCAGAGCTGTCAGGGTCACTATACACACACCCCATGCTCTCCCTCTTTGCGTGGGTAAAAGGGCAAGCACTGATGGAGGCACACCACAATCCCAGCACATTCATACACCCCGTCCAATAGTTACTGTTCTGTGGCTTGGCATTGATCCTGTTTCAGAGGAGATGGGGCTGGTGCCTCGCCCAGGTCAGATAACTCCAGACAAAAGGAGAATTAGAACCCCATGTACCTGGAGCCTGGAAACTACAAACATATCTCACTCCCCTGCTTTTACTCAGCTAATTCTACTCATCTCAGGAATCCCTTTCTTAAATTTCCTCCAACTGTGTTTACTGTCCTTTCTGAGCTTCCCCCCAGGTCCCCCAAGTTCTCTCCAAGGACCCCTGCCCAAGATAGGGATTATGATTTGGTACAAAAAAATACTCTATAACAAACACTAGTTTAATTAATACAAATATTAAGCACTGTGCCACGGAGGGTGGGACAGATACTAAATAGAACAGGGTCTTGTCAAAAAGAGGAACTACAGATCTGAAGGGCAGGGCAGTGGTGACACACATCTTTAATCCCAGCATTCAGGAAGCAGAGGCAGGTGGATCGCTGTGAATTCGAAGCCAGCCTGGTCTACAGAGCAAGTTCCAGGACAGGTTCCAAAATCAATACAGTGAAATCCTGACTCAAAAAAAAACAAAAACAAAAACAAAAACAAAAAACCCAGATCTGAAGGCAACATGATGAAGTGAGAGAGGGACACACAAACACACTGGTGTCTAGGGGAGCCTGAATCCCTTTACCAGGGACTAGAGGTCGAGCAATGGGACCTTTCCTATAAACACTTTTTCCAGGTTCCAGCAACCTCCCTCAGGTCCCCTTTCAGAAGTTGAGAGTAGTCCTCCCGTTGATGGTAACCATGAGACACTACTCAATCCACTTGGAATCCCTAAACACTGCATAGTCTAGACTTGTATAAATCGTTCCATGCCCCCTCCCTTTTTTGACTCTCCTGTTTTGAGTCTGCCATCTGTTTCCTGCAGAGCCTGGCAGGAAAAACCTTAGCCAACTCTGAACAGAAAAGGGCAATATGGCTGAAGTAGGTACTGGAGGGGAAGACCAGACACAGAAGGCAGGGGCTGGCTCAATGCCACGAGAAATCTAGATGGGCTGAGGTGGGGATGAGGGTGGGGACACTAGGAGCGTGACTGGAAGTGTTTGGTGAGTGAACTAGTGAATAAAAGCCTAAGTGTGTTTTCTCCTCGCAGAATGCAGGACACCCCGGGGCACCAGGAGTCGGAGCCAGACGTGAAGACCTCGTGTGCCGCGTCCTGCCATGCGCAGCGCATCCTGCAGACGCTCAACGCTTACCGGCGGAGCGGCACCCTCACCGACGTGGTGCTGCGCGCTGGAGGCCGCGACTTCCCGTGCCACCGCGCGGCCCTCAGCGCGGCCAGTGCCCACTTCCGCGGCCTGTTCGCGGCCGGCCATCCCGAGCATGCAGCGGCTGTGGTCCCGGTAGGGCCCGAGGCGCCCGGGGCAGCGGCCGCACTGGCCGTGGTGCTCGACTACATGTACGGCGCGGGCGTGCAGCTGCGCGCCGAGGAGGAGGCGACCGCCGTGCTGGCGCTGGCCGAGCGGCTGGGCGTGGCGGGGCTGCGTGAGTCGTGCGCGCGCTTCCTCGAGGGCCGCCTGCGGGCTGCCAACAGCCTGGCGCTGCGCCGCGTGGCCGCCGCCTTCTCGCTCGCCTCCTTGGCCGAGCGCTGCGGCCGTGTGCTGCGCCAGGCCTTCGTGGAGGTGACGCGCCACGCCGACTTCTTGGAGCTCGCGCCCGACGAGGTGGCGGCGCTGCTGGCCGACCCCGCGCTGCGCGTGGCGCGCGAGGAGGCCGTGTTCGAGGCGGCTATGCGCTGGGTGCGCCACGACGCGCCGGCTCGCCGCGGGCAGCTGCGTCGCCTGCTGGAGCACGTGCGCCTGCCACTGCTGGCACCCGCCTACTTCCTGGAGAAGGTGGAGGCCGATGAGCTGCTGCAGGCCTGCGGCGACTGCCGTCCGCTGCTGCTTGAGGCCCGCGCCTGCTTCATCCTAGGCCGGGAGGCAGGAGCGCTGCGGGCCCGGCCGCGGAGGTATGGCCTCCCACGTGCTTGCCTTGCGCCCCAGCGAGACCTCGCGTCTCTCCTAGCTCTGGTTATTTCACTACCCCTCTTGAAATGACACCGCTTCTTGGTTCGTTCCCGGTGTTCTGCCTTGAAGAATTAGAATTTCCAACCCCATCTGTCATTCTGAGAATCAGGTCTTGTTAGGATCTGCTCTTTTTGGACCCACCGGCTAGAAAAGCCACACATACAAAGGCATGAGAAAAGTCCACTCTGCCTGTGCAATGCCAGGCCCAGAGACTATAGGTGGGATAGTCCACAATGGCCCTCCATACCAGAGGGACAGAAGACAGAGATGATGCTGTCTTTGACTTTAAACACGAGGCTAGGGACACAAGATATGTTAAGAAAGTACTAGTCAGAGGGTTTGGTAAACCTGGCGAGGCCAGAAACCTAAAGAGACAATAATGGAGAGCTTTGTGGAATGTGAGTAATCTTTCTCACAACAATAACCCCACTAGGAGGTGGCTATGGGAAGGTCACAGTACATTAGCTGTTAGGGATGGAGGATGTATACCAGACCAAACTGAGCATGACTTAGAAAGCCTGTAATCCATAGCCTCGGTTTCCTCCTCTGTAAAAGGGACAACAATCCCAACAACCGCCCGAAGAGTTAAACAAAGGAAGGAGAAAGGCTTTGGGGAAAGTCGTTTTTCTCTAATTTAGAGGCAAGTAGACTAGAATATAGGTTAGTGAGAGTAGGGGTTCCAGTGGCAAGCAGAAGGGCAGTGGCATTTTATTGTGTGGTCAAAACAGCGAGAGAGAAGCTGGGCTTGGTGCTGGATGCCGTCAAGTCCAGAACTCAATAACCAGAAACAAGATAGAGTTCAAGAATAGAGGCTACACAAAAAAGCAAACCCAAGGACTGGGGATATAGCTTAGAGGCAGAGCATACTGACGTTCTGGTTCAGTAATCACCAGCACCGTTTGCGGGAGGTATGAGCAAGGGCAGCAGCCTGAGTGTCTACCGATAGTTGGGTTTATCTTCACCCCAGATTCATGGACCTAGCCGAAGTGATCGTGGTCATTGGTGGGTGTGACAGAAAGGGGCTCCTGAAGCTGCCTTTCACAGATGCTTACCACCCAGAGAGTCAGCGCTGGACCTCACTGCCTAGCCTGCCAGGTTACACACGCTCTGAATTTGCCTCCTGTGCACTTCGAAATGACATTTACGTTTCCGGTGAGTGCACAACTGAAGTAGGAACCTCTGTTTCCCCCACTCACATCTGTTATTTTCTCCTCCAATCAAGAGATTGGGGCCATTTTGTAATTTAAAAATGACGTGGGGGAGAGAAAGATGCCATGAGACAGAGCTCATGTGGAGAGATTCTGTCTAAGTCCCTGCAGGCCAGAAGAGGGCACCAGATCTTTTACAGGTGGTTGTGAGCCATCATGTGGTTGCTGGGAATTGAACTCAGAACTTCTGGAAGACTAGCTAGTGTTCTTAACCAGAGAAGCAGAGAGAGGTGGGGGCAACAGAGAGAAAGAAAGATGGGAAGTGGTTAGGACACTTTTAAAAGGGAATCATATTGAATGTGCACAGGAGGTGCTCTTAGTGGCTGCCGGTGAGGGTGTATCCTGTCAGAACCCCAAGGGCAGGCCAGTGCAGATGCCTGAATACTAATAGGCTGGCATTCCCATAATACCCCACTGTTAGTGGCTAAAACCGTGTGGCCTAGCAAAGTTGAGGATGGAAGTGGAGGTAAAGCACTGGTCACAAATGGTGACTGGGTCACCCTCTACCCCACCACCGTGCAGATGCCCTGCTTTCCCTCTGCCCACCATGCGCTCTTAATGAGTGTCTGAGGGTACCTCTCTTCCTTTGCTTCTCTGAGCACAACTGGTGTCCCACCACCACGGGGCACCTGGATCTCTCTGGTACCCTTGCCTTCCATTCAAAGCCTAGTCTTACAGTAGCCCAGTGAGAAAGGCTTCCTATGCTAAGCCTTCCTTCAGATTAGGGGTGTTTCTGACTCTTTGACGGCACTGGGAGTGAGTAAGTGAAGAGAGCTGCTTCTTTCCCCGTAGGAGGTCACATCAACAGCCGTGATGTCTGGATGTTTAGCTCCCATCTGCACACCTGGATCAAGGTTGCCTCCATGCACAAGGGCAGGTGGAGGCACAAGATGGTGGCCCTGCAGGGACAGGTAGGCACATGGTCTGGCTGCTGCCCTGGGATCCAAGGCATAGATGACCTGGAGGAAGGAGGGGTCTGAGGCCCCAGAAGATAAGGAAGGACTTGCTCAAGATCACTTAACAGTCATCACAGCAGCTGGACTTAGTGGCTCACGCCTGCAACCTCAGGACATGGAAGTTGTGGCAAGGGGGTCATGAGTTTGATGCCAGCCAGGGCTACATAGCAAGACCCTGTCTCAACATCACCACCCCTCCCAGATAAAGAGCTGTCACTATAAGAATACAGTTCAGTGGTGAAAGGTTTGGTCCTTGGGGCCAAAGGGACTAGGTACTGAGTCTTGGCTCTGCCACTTATAAAATAAAATACTGCCAGTTATCTTTGTAAACCTCATTCTGCATCCAGAAATACACAGGAATAGGGTAGGTGGGTGGCGAACCCCTAGTAACCACTGAGGTTTTTACTAAGCATCACCTGCAGCTGGAGTACTCCTCCTTCAGACACTTGTCTCCTGCCCCCTGCATTCAACAGGGAACTAAGGAGAGAGGAACTTGGCCAGGCAGTGGCTGCGCTGAGATGCTCCTGGTGGGCTTACAGACTGAAGCGGTGGGGTGTTGGAGTTGACAGTATAGCCCTGAATCCCTGGGCTCTGGCCTTTGTTTTCGCCCACAGCTTTTTGCAGTGGGTGGCTTCGATGGCCTGCGGCGCCTGCGCAGCATGGAGCGCTACGACCCGTTCTCCAACACCTGGGCTGCCACAGCGCCCCTGCCGGAAGCCGTGAGCTCTGCAGCGGTGGCGCCCTGCGCTGGCCAGCTCTACGTGATTGGGGGTGCCGGGCAGGACGGTGTCAACACTGATAAGGTGGGCTTAGGCTTTGGGATAAGGGGGCATTAGAGGCTGCAGGGAAAAAGTGTAGCCTTCTACGTGCAGGCTAGATCTGGGTACCGGTGTGAAACAACCTGTTTTCCAAATCCAGTCAACACTCCGGGAATCTCCCCCAAATTTCGATCGAGAAAATGAGTTAAGAAAGATGACCTCAGCCGGGCACTCGTCTTTAATCTCAGCACTTTGGGAGGCAGACGAATCTCTTGTGAGTTTTAGGCCAGCCTGGTCCACAAAGTGAGTTGTAGGACAGAGCTGTTGCACAGAGAAACTGTGTCTCAAAAAACAAAAACAAGACAAAAAGGAGGGGAGGGAGGGAAAAGGAAGGATGGGGGCTGGAGGGATGGCTCAACAGTTAGGAGTACTTGCTGATCTTGCAAAAGACCAGAGTTTGGTTCCCAGCACCCATTTCAAGTGGCTCACAGCTGCCTTTCACTGTAGCTCTGGATCTGACATGTTCTTCTGGCCTCCGCAGCGACTCATAGACACAGAGACACAAATAAAAACAATCTTTTTAAAAATTAGATGGCATAGGTAGAATTGTTAAAATGCTTTTCCTCCATTCCAAAAAAAAAAAAAAAAAAAAAAAAAAAAGAATCTTCTAAGCTTGGGGATATAGCACCAGGAAGCTCTGATCCCCAGCATCGTATAAGCCAATCATAGCCGGATAAGAGTTGGGGTAATCTGCCAAGTATTCACAGATACAGAGGTAAGAGGACACGGGTATCGGGGTATTAGGGGGAGGTCCATTCGCTGTTTCCCTCCTGCAGGTGCAGTGCTTTGACCCCAAGGAGGACCAGTGGAGTCTGCGGTCACCAGCACCATTCTTGCAGCGGTGTCTTGAGGCTGTCTCCCTGGAAGACACCATTTATGTAGTGGGAGGCCTCATGAGTAAAATTTTCACCTATGACCCTGGCACGGATGTCTGGGGAGAGGCAGCTGACCTGCCCAGCCCTGTGGTAAGTGGAGGTTCCCTGGCAGACCCCTGCACTGGCTCATTCAGGTGTGCAGGCCCACTTCCAACACCCTGGAGCTTACAGATTAGAGAGGTCTTGCATGACTCCACGCTAATAGCGTCTTCTCCCATTGACAAATCGCCTGTCATTTCAGATGAGACTGGCCTTGCCGAGGTTGGCCCAGGGCTGTCAGTTGGGCTTTAGTAAGTCAAGTCTAGAATTCAAGTGATATGACTCTGAGGAAAGGGGGTTGGTCTACTATGAAGGTACCAACTAGCAGGGAGCAGGCAAGGGACTTGCTAAGTTCCCTGCTCCAGTGACATCAGTGACAAAAGGTGCAAGTTCTGGCCTCCACAGCCCCTTGCTTCCCCCACCTGCTGCCCCAAGACTCCAAGAAACTGTGTAGATGTATAAGTGTTGGTCCCTGTCTGTTCTGGGTCTGGGTGATTTCAAGGCCAAGTCTGAGTGAGACTGTAGGATGGTTACTGTTCACATGCATAGGACCTTCCAGGCATGGCTTTAGCTTTTACAATACACATACAGTGACAGTTAAGAGGGCGGATGCTCTTATGAGACCTAAGACACAGAGTGAGGGACAAGTTCACCCAATTATTTTGTCTCCATTTATATTGCCTAGCCAGTCTATAGGAGTCCCTGGCCGCATCCCAGTTAACTGTCTGTCCCCTCAGGAGAGCTGTGGCGTGACGGTGTGTGATGGGAAGGTCCACATCCTTGGCGGGCGGGACGAACACGGGGAAAGCACCAACAGTGTGTTCACCTTTGATCCCAGCAGCGGGCAGGTGGAGGCCCAGCCATCGCTGCAACGCTGCACCAGTTCTCATGGCTGTGTCACCATCGTCCAGAGCCTGGGCAGATGACTGGCACAGCCTGAACTGGGAGGCAGGGCAAATCTGGGCATGATACTTGGCTCTCCTCCTGGAACCTCCATGTGAATAGTCCTTTAACTTGTTACCCCTTTTCTTGTAGAAATAAAACATTTCCCAAAAGCTGGGTGTGTTTCCGCTTATGCCTGCTTTGTCCAGAGAAGGCATCCCTAGCAGCTGCTCCTTGCCAGCACTCCTATGCCTCTGTGGGCCACTTAGACAGCCATGCTCTCCTTAGACTATCATATGAACAGACTCAGTTCTGGACACTGGACAGTGCAATTGGCACCAAGAGCAATATGCCAGCAGTTTCCATCTGGTGAGGCCCTACTTTGTAAGTTCCCTTTAACCTCCCCAGATGGACTATTCATCTACCCAATGGACCCTATTTGTCTAAATAGTTAAGTATCCACTCACTGTAGCATGCGTGCTTGTGTGTGTACATGTCATGAAGTACATGTGGAGGTCACGGGACAACTTTGTGGAGTCTGTGCTCTCCTACCATCTTTATCTGACACAACTCTGAAGCCACTGTACACTTGGTATGGCCCAGAGCTCCAGAGCAGTGACAAATTGCTGGATGGGAAAAGAGGAAAAACACACCAGATGTCAAAGCTGTTTCCTGGGATGATGGGGCTGCAGTACTAGGTACTGGCTGGCCCCATCTGCAGACCCTCATTTGCACTCTGATTGCCTTTTGAAGAGGAGCCTCTTGTTTCCCAATCTCTCCCATCCTCAAAGCCCGGGGGCCGTGTCTGCAGGGTTTCTCCAGCTGGGGCTGACCCATCACAGCCAGACACAAAAGCTCTGGTTCCAGCTGAGCTCCAATACCACAGATTAGGAACTGTGGCCATCTGGACCCAGCTGATAATGACATAGGGGGAGGAGTGCAGGCCAGCACCATTGAGCCTGCCTGTCCCCACCCCAGGGGACACCTAGGACAAAGCAATGTTAGCTTATCAAGTCTATCCAGGAACAATAGCCCATATAGGGCAAACTTCTGAAGGGTATGCTGTCCTCTGGCTAGCTACTTCAAGAGGGCCAAGCAGTGACTCCCAATCTTCCCACTCAGATTCCCCAAAGGTCCCTGTTTCTAAATTGTAAATCCACTTAGTATACTGAGTGCTGTTCTGTACAAGCGCTGTTTGCCTGGACACACAGGCAAGGAAGACAAGGACACACAAGAATGGGACAGCCAGTAACAATTACAGCACCCTTTCACTTCTTTGTTGCATTTCTCAAGTCTGGAAACAGGTGGGATTCACTACTTCTCTTTACCCATCACGACAGGATATCTCAATCACACAGATGAGTGTGCAGCAGTACTTCACACTTGTCTGGAGGGATGCTAGTGAAGTGACACTCGTCACACTAGCAAGATGGTAGTGGGTAAAGGCAAGAATTTACTCCCAGAAGTTGTGCTCTACTAAGTGGTGCCTGAGGATAAATATGCTGGCATTACTTTTACTAGAGATTGAACCCAGCACCTCAAGCATGCCAGGAAATTGTCAATTTTTTTTTTTTTTTTAAAGACAGGGTTTCTCTGTAGCTGTGTAGACCAGACTGGCCTTGAACTCAGACATCCGGCTGTCTCTACCTCCTGAGAGCTGGGATTAAAGGCCACCACTGCCCTGTTTGGCAAATGCCAAAATTTTAAAGCCACATCAGTCATTGTAATTGAGTTTACAGACCAATTAATGAAAATGTTTCATTCATGTAACAAAATCAGTGTCTTCAACAAATTAGGAGCTATTTCCCTTAGCAGTTTAAGCAACTACAGCTTATTACAGCCTCAACTAATGGGCATTCATTGTATTGGAGTTCTCGCTTAGGTTTTCAGTTCTAGACTGAGCAGTGAGTCCCAAAAGCAACCTATGGGAACCTTGTAGGTTGTTTATTGCACCCAGTTTATCTCTTGGTGGGCTGAGGGCAGGGTGGGCAAAGGACACATCTAAATACTCAGGAGCAGGGCGTTGGTGGCACATGCCCTTAATCCTAGCACTCGGGAGGCAGAAGCAAGTGGTTCGAGGCCAGCCTGGTCTACAGAGTGCCAGGACAGGCTTGAAAACAATGCAGAGAAACCCTGTCTCAAAAAAAAAAAAAAACTCATGAGGCAGGATGGTGAGTTCCAGCCCAACCCGAGCCACAGACCCTTACGCATCCACCCCTCCCTCAGTAGATGATTGCCTACTGTCTGCACAGCTGTTGTTTCAGGACTATTCAGGGCTGCAGTTTTATGATTATGACAGCTTGGGTGTGATTAAGTCACTTCCAACTTAGGGCCTGATAACTGTGTAACTAGAAGATTTTAAGACAGCCAAGGTTAGGTTTGCTGTCAATAAGCTAGTTATTTGTCCAATACAAAGATTTATTAATTATTAGTGGCCCCGAAGGGTTGCAATCTTTGATAAAAACAAAGTTGTTTTAGCATCCTAAGGAAAACAGTACTGAAATTAGAGGTTGGTTTACAGACATCTATGATGAGATCTGGTGCCATTTTCTAGTGTGCAAGCATTCATGTTGGCAGAACACTAAACATAATAAAGGTAACCTGTACTTAACATGTACAGAATTAAGTAGGCTAGGTAGGTTGTGGATATTATGGTCAGTGTGCTCCTAATATAACTTACTCAGTGAAGTTCGTATGCTGTGCAATGCCACAAAGGTGAAAAGACAGGGAAATAGAAGTGGTTCGTGAAGGCTGCTGGCCTTTTGGCACTAGTCAGGCTGTACCCCAGACCCTTGATCGCTTCATCAGGAAGTCTCACCAAATAGAGCACAGGATTTCCAAGCTAACTTTAATTCTCCCAAAACATATGTCAATAGTACATGCTTTTAAGACATTATAGCAATTAAGCTACCAATAATTTCTGAATTTACTGTATTTCCTGAAACATGGCTCAAGTATGAGACTTAGAAATGTGGACCATAATGATAGCTTTATATTTAATATTTCTGAGCTTTAGGTTCAATGGCATCAAGAAGTTTTTGTTACTTTAGGAATGCTGAGTGAGACTAATAGCAGTACATGGCTAAACAGGCCAATTTACTTTCTACATGCAGGTAAGTGCACACCAGTGTCACAGACTTTCATAGAAAGTATCTTGCTGGTCCACTGGGGAAAATATCACATAGCTCTCCAGGCTGGGGACACATGTCGCTTATGTGCAAGGATCTGAGTCCCATCAATAACAGCAAAACCAAACTGTTCTTCTAACCTGAACTGTGTAACACAGGCTCAAGGTGATGTCAGCCCTGTAACCACCAGCCTTCACTGACCCAAAGACTTCTCTGGTCAGCTCTGCTCAAGCCCTCCAGCTTATACTAAACAGGATAAGCAACACTCCTCAGGCCAACATAACTCAGTCACCATCCAGTCAGGCCTTATGTCTTTGTGCAAGATTTTATTAAATGTCTGTACAGGACAACATCCAGTCTCCAGATACAGCTGCCAAGACCCTGAAACCAAATAAAGAAAGTATAAGAAGACTCATACAAGTGCTTTCATCCATTACAGATGTACACATCCCCATGCAGGGTTTGCCTTAAACATATCCCCGCAAAAAGACTGTTACTTAAACCCTGACAAGGTTGCTAAAGGGTGGAATGTCTAACAAGGGTATCTGCAAACTCTTGACTGAAGGCAGTGAAGGAAAACACACATTCTGACAGATTTGCTGGGCTGGGCACCATGCTCTAACTGATACCCTCCCACATTAAGAAACACAAACACACACAGTACATCAGAAATAACAGTAAAAATCACAACAACACAACAGGTCTGTTTGCCCCAGGAACAACACCACAGACAATACCTGTTATGCTGTAGGCACTGGCTGGGGCATGGCAGGTGGTTCTGGCTTCCCACCCTTCTGCTCAGAGATGGGGGTGGTGGGCAAGATTTCCTCTTTAGGTTCCACAATGCTCACATGATCAGGCAGAGGCTTCTTGGGGCCGATCTTACCACTTGGGTCCCAGGGCAGCATGATTTTCACTTTGATGCCCAGCACACCTAAAAGAGACCAGGACTAGAACTGGGCTGGATTTTTACCACCTCCCACCACACATCAGGAAAGCAAGAAGGCAGTACCTACCTACTCTTAGCCCTTCTCAGACAAATGCCTCTAAATCAATCAATGAGCAGGACACTTTTGCCAAAGGAACCGTGTGCAGCACCATAGAACATGGTACTGACAAGGACCTAGAGCAAGGCATGACCTTTCTGACTCGTCATCGTGTCATCACCGAAGGGCACACAAGGCAAGACAAGACCAATTTGGTCATTTCAACAATGCAATTTTTCACCGCCCCTGTAACTAACAGTTCTTCCATAGTAGACTGCAAACACAAGTCCATGGAAGCATACCCGCCTGCTAATTTCTTCCCTGGGCATTCCTAGCTACACAGTGCTTAGACAGCACCTCCCTACCCCCAGGTTCCCTTCCCGGCACAGCTGCTTACCCTGCCTGAGGAGCACATGGCGAACGGCAGTGTCAACATAGTAGTTAACAGGGTCTCCACTGTGGATCATCAGCCCATCCACAAACTTCATGGACTTGGCTCTCTGTCCTCGTAGCTTCCCAGACACCACGACTTCGCAGCCCTTGGCCCCACTTTCCATAATGAATCGAAGCACACCATAACAGGCCCTTTGGAAGAAATTCATCAGTTACTGCCAAAGATACAATCTGCATGTCCCTTCCATCAAGCTTAAAAACAAGACTTATATTTTCTTTAGCAACTCAAATGGTAGCTTGGGGAAACACCTGAGTTCAGCCAAAACAGCAATTCATCATCCAGATGCTTTCCCACTCTGGCCTGTATGTTTGAATCTTCTCTCAAGAATGAGCATCATTTACACCTTCATGCCCAGGTCCTTCTACAACTGGAGTGGCTAAGCTCAAGCATGGGTATTTTTTTCACACCTTTTAAGAAATTAATCGATTTTACTATGTGCACATGATATGTGAGTACATGGAAGTCAGAGGACAACTATGGAGTCATGTCCCCTTCCTTTGTAACTCAGGTTGTCAGGCTTGCCTTTGGTGACAAGCCCCTTTTGTGTGCTGTCTGTTAGGGAAGATTCTTTTTGAAAATTAGGTCTCACTACATAACCCTAACTAGCTTGAAATTTGCAGAGACCCACCAGCCACTGCCTTAGAGCACTAGATTAAAGGTGTAGAACAAATGAGGCAGGAATGGATTATCATTTTTAATGTGCCCTAGGCATGAAACAGCTTTGGCCACCAAGTCAGGCATCAAGCTAGGATGAACAAAGGACTGCAATCTGCTCTACCCCTGGCTGATATAAGAACAACACCACCGCAAGGTGTCTCTTTGCCCATTGCCAGGGGTTAGGAACAGGTTATTTTTGAAAAGTGTTAGGTAGCTCCCAGGTACCACCCTAGTTGAGAAGCACAGAACCCCCAAGCACCCTATTCAATGTGCAGAATCTATCATCACCAGTGAACCTAAACAATGCTAACACACTTGATTATCAAGACACCAGAAAAACCTTTAAGATTAAAAAACAACGGAAAGACTGGGCAGGGTGGCACACACCTTTAATCTCAGCACTAGGGAGACAGAAGGCAAATCTGAACTCAAGGACAGTCATACCAAGAAAGAAACCTGTCGAGGTCTGCTAAGGCTACAGTGAGATCCCGTCTCTCAAAAACAAACAAAAACCCAAACTTGGCCTTTCAATATTCCCTTCTAACTCTCATAACCAAGGCAAGGAAGGTGACACAACTATTTTTTTTTCAACAGACCAGCTCAGACAGGGTCCAGGCCTCACATCCAGGCTAGTTTGTTACTATACAGCCCAGACTGGCTTTGGATTGCTGATTCTTCATACTTTCACAGTGCTGTGATTAAAGGTGAGAATTATCACACCTGACCGACCTAGTGATTTATGTCTTGATTTTGAGTTCTTTCCCTTCAGAACTGTCCCCACAAAAATAAAAGTAACTTGTCTTGAAATGTGTGCTATCCTAGAAGCACTAAAGCCTTAACTATTAATCATGTATACCTCATACAGAAGCAACATTATGCTTTACTGCCCATGTATCAGGGGGGCTTTTAAACCCCACAAAACACCAACAGATATTTCCCCCTTGTATGATTTTTCTGTTCCATTCTTAATATACCCAAACATTCCCATTACAGCTCTGACCATTCCTTAAGGGCTCACACTATAACCCAGGTTGGCCTGCAACTAAGCAGCCCTCCTCTCGGTCTTGTAAGTGCTGGGATTATAGGCATGTGTAACTCACAATAGACTCTCCACTAGGTCTTGTTAGCCTAACAAGGTGGCCATGAGGTACCTTACTGTTGTACCAACAGAGACCATATGATCCTGTCACTTAAGAGCTTCTAACAAAATGTCAGAAACATATTGTTGCACAGAAACTCACCTTCGCACAGCAAGTCCTCCTAGGAGTTTGTAACGTAGAGACTCTGCCTGAGCGATGGCACACAGACCTCTTGTGGCCACCTTTTCTGCATAAAGCTTTAAAGAAAGGGACATGTTTATTACTTAACAGTTTTCAATTAAATCATTGTAATATCCCTTAAGTACTGAAGCATGGCTCATTGCCCTTTTCTGGTTCTCCACAACTACACCTGGGAGAGTGATGGGATAGCCAATCCACCTATGTGTCACTTCTATGTGGATGTAAGACTCTTCAGCTTCCAGAAGACTGCCCTCAAACTTAAGATCATTGTTGGGTTCTGCTGTCTGGGTGGGTACCAGGATACAAGGTATGCCCACCATGAATGGCAATCACACTACTTATAAGGCAACTCTAGGTATTAATCCACCTGTACTACTCATTGGCCACGTCAAAGATTTCCAGAATCATCATTCTACAGAAGCAACATCTAAAATCCAGTCTAAACCCCTGGCAAAAGCCAAGGGGACTCACCTCTACACTGCCCTCAGGGAAGCCGAACCTCTTCTGAACCACAGCAGTTAACTCTCTGATCCGACGACCCTTCTCACCAAGAACATTCTGTGTTCTGCAGAGGGAAAACGTTATTATTTCCCATGTCATCTGTTACACAGAAAGAATACACTTTAAAAAAGATTAAGGTAAATTTCAAATGGTGTCTTAAAAAAAAAAAAAAAAAAGCAGCTACACTCACCAAGGCCAGGTTCACTGGTTGGTAGTCCCAAATTTACATAGCACCTGAGTACACATAGTGATTACAGGTGATAGCCAGTCAACTACATTTTTACCTGGTGGCTAAAATAATGATTTCTGTTCTGGTTGGTGTAACTCGGACTTCAACACCAGAGTAGCCATCTTCAGCCAGTTCCCGAGTGAGAAACTCATTCAGCTCAGCTTTGAAAATTCCATCCGCCACAAACTAAACCAAAAGCAAGTTCAGAGTTAAGACAGGGGGTGGACGGTTAGCCAGTGCTACCCGCAATGACCCTGTGGGAATGCAGCAACCCTTCTCAGACAAATGCCTCTAGGTCATCTTTGGGAAGTTTCTTTGACCATAGTGCTTTCAGCTGTACCACAGAACGCAGCACAGTGAGGCCTCCTGGACAAAGACAACACCTCCGTCAGACTCGTCATCACCTCTTCATCGAAGGGTTGTAAAACATTTACACACACAAAGCCAAGTCTATATTCTCAAGCGGCACATCTGCAGTGTGAGACGTGTACCTCGAGAGAGGACAAATCCTAACTCGAACAGCAATGTGGACGGCAGCTTTATGAACCATGCATAAACACAAACACGACAGGCCAGGCCATCTACTTCTAAACCTGATGGTCTTCACACTTCTTCCCCATGGGATGACAAAAGTCCGGGACGCCTTTGCAGCAGGTCCCCAGAGGGAGCACACCAATAGTGAGCAGCCTTTCACCTGAGGCGGCTTACAGGATGGGTTAAGACAGACTGCTAAACTTCACTTACCAAAAACGCCGGATTAGCTCACACTCTCAAGCTATGCCATAATTATTAATCCTGGCGACCGAGAGACGCTCAAAAGCGTCCAGTAAATGCCTGAAGGCTCCCGGTGCTCACCTCGGCCCGCAGCTGAGGCGTCTGTTCTCCCACTCCCCAGTCACACTGAGCTAGCCCGGAGCCGGCCCAGCGCACCATCCACGTCCATCCGCGCCCCGTGGAAACGCCAGGCGGCAGCAGCCGCTCCCCGGGATCGGACGCGGAGCCACGGGTAGCACGGTGGCACTTCCAAAGCGCGCCGCGAGCCCTCGGGCCGGGCCCAGACGCTTACCTTCCTTTTCTTGGAAATCTGCACCGCCATCTTGCCGCCGCGCGCCACCGAAAGGAAAGGAAGTGGCTCCCGGGCGGAAGTGTGTATAAAGGGCGCGGAGCGACGACGCGACGCTACGCAACGGCAGCACTCGCAAGTCTTCATGGGAAATGAAGTTTTGCCTTTATAAAGGCGAACGGAGGAAAAACAAGTGTAACCTAGCAACCCGCGGTGTAGGCAGAACAGGAAGTGCAAATCTAATTCTGGTTTGAAAAGCGTGGTGGAGCGTGCCTGTGATTCCAGCATTAGAAAGGTGGAGGATCAGAAATTCAAGGTCATTCTCTACTATAGCGAGTTCGAAGCCGGCTTGGGCTACATGAACCCTTGACTCAAAAATAAATAAAAACTTAGAGCAATCGAGAGGCAAGAGATACAAACCACAGATATAAGCCCTACACTAACAGATTGCCCAGAACAGAACCCTACTGTTTACACCCTCAGGACCACACTAATGAAAACTTTAACTGAAATCCATTTAGAAGACTAGCCAGGTGACTCACAGTAAGTAAAGGTGTTTGATGTAGATCCGGGCACCCAGAGGTCAAAGGGCAGGACTGACTTAACAAAGTTAAGTCCTAGCATGCCCTCCCCACCCCCAGGATACACAAAAATATCAGTAAATATCATTTTAGACAAATTGGCTTAGCCACCCTGATCTGAAAATTCATATTCTCTGTTCTAAAAATGACAATCGAGTCTAGTATAATTCGTTCCAGGGTCTGTTCTGTCTTACTTCCCCCCCCCCCAGACTATTTCATCTGTAGCTGAGTGACCTTGAATGATTCTCCTGCATCCATCTCCCAAGTGTAGTATTAGAAGTATACCACTATGCCTAGGACAGAATTATTATTTATTTACCAATACCTCAACTGCATAAAGTCCATTCAAATTTGTAACAAAAATCAGAGCAGTGGCTTGAGTGCTCAGATTCTTTTTTAAGTGATTTTTTTTCCCCCAGCCAGGCATGGTGTTTCACACCTCAGCACTTGGAACACTGAGGCAGGAGGATTACCTGTTGAAGAACAGTCTGGGTTACAGAGTGAGTGAGACTGCCAAAGTGGGGGGGGGGGGGCTGGGTGCAAATAGTGCACATACATAAAAGCAAGCACAGCACCTACACACAGAGACACACACACAAGTCTTTTTAAAAACATCACAACCCTAAGATGTTTATTACAAAGATAAACCCTGATTCAAAGATGGACTTACCTGTAGCATTTCTGGTATGGAACACCTGCACCAGGACCTCTGAAGTTTTTGAACTCACGGTGGGGTGGGCTACCAGCAGGGGCCTGTCATCATAATAAACCAGCAGGGCTTTGAGGACAGACTGTTGGAACGTATAAGTCTGGGCTACTGGATCCTTCTTCACAGGGACTCTGATGTCCACACCAGTAATTCCTCCTTATCCAGAAGCAAATCCTGCTGCTGGAGCTTGTACTGCAGTGTTTGTGGTTCAGTCATCTCCAGGGAGCTCCAATTCACCTGTGCTGATCCCACCAAATGGAAGTACAGACTGTTACCCAAATTGTTTTAGTTAGATTAGGCAAGCTTTATTTTCTGTCTCCCTAAAATGGGGCTTGAGAAAACAGCATTGGACATAAAAGTGGAATTCGTGTAGCTCAAAATTTTCAAGGGTTAGGGGATTTGCAGAGGCATTTTGTTTATGTAGGACCTTGGTAGAACATCTTATCTTGTCAGGGTGGAGGTGACGGTAGAGGGTGTGGAACATGTCAAATTCCAGAAAATGGGTCAAGACATGGTCAAACCCAAGTTTTACAAAAAACAGGAATGAACTTTTTGGAGGCTGTCCTGGAACTAGCTCTTGTAGACCAGGCTGGTCTCCAACTCAGAGATCTGCCTGCCTCTGCCTCCTGAGTGCTGGGATTAAAGGCGTGCGCCACTACTGCCCGGCTATTTTGACATTTTTAACAAGAAGGCTTCTAATCTTAAAATGGACTCAGGCTGGTCCAGCAGCTGATGAGCCGTTTCCTGGTTTGCAGTGAGTGCATCATGGCTACAACTGTCTTCTTCTGACTGTTTCCTTGTGACCCAAGATGTGCACAGGCTTCAGCAGGTCCTTTGACCTTTAGGACTTCGGGTTTGAGTGAGAGCTCTTCAATTTGAGGTGCTCCACCAGAGGGGGGAAAAAAAACAGCAACAACAACAAAAAATCTTTATAAAGGAGGATATTCCGCCAGGCAGGTGTGGCACACACCTTTAATAGAAGAGACAGGTGGATCTCTGAGTCTAAGGACAGCCTGGTCTACAGAGAAAGGTCTGGGACAGCCTCAGCTACACAGAGAAACCCTGTCTCAAAAAATCAAAAGGAAAAAATAGAACATATGTACTGGGCAAGGTGGTTCATGTCTGTAATCCTGAAGTAAAATAAAGTAGAAAATACCAATTATCAGATATTGGTTTATTTACTGATTTTGTTGAAGCACTGTTTATAGTGCCTACTTGCCAAGCATAACTTCACTTGCTACCTGAACAGAATGACCTGAAGAAATAGCTGAAATAAGCCAGGTGTTGGTGGTGCACACCTTTAATCCCAGCATTAGGGAGGCAAAGGCAGGCAGATCTCTGTGAGTTCAAGGCCAGCCTGGTCTACAGAGCGAGTTCTAGGACAGCCAGAGGCTGTTTCACAGAGAAATCCTGTCTCTAAAAACCAAACAGAGAGAGAAAGGGAGGAGGAAGGGGGAGGGAGAAGCTGAATCAATGAGTCAATGGGTCATTACTCTTAACAATCTGTTGACCGCCTTGTATGCTTCTGTAAAATCTTGCTTGCTTGCCTGCTCCATCTTGTGCTATAGGTATAAAATGAGAGTGCAAACAGGATCTGGGATCAAAGCCTTGAAGATACTATCGGGCTTCGGTCCACCTGGTGCCCTTCTCTTCCACTCTCACTGGTGTCCAAGTGCTTATTCCAGATTCTCAGAGCAGTGCAATGCTTGGGAGGTGGAGCCAGGAGGATCCAAGTTCAAAATCATCCTTGGCTACATATTGAATTCAAGGTCAGGCAGGGCCATATGAGACTGTGCCTCACAATAAAATAAAATAAAACAAAACAATAAAAGAGAGAGAACCAGAGCCATGCATGGTAGCAAATGGCTGTAATCCCAGCATTCAAGAGGCAGAGGCAGGAGGATCTCTGAGTTCAAGGTCATCCTGGTCTGTATAGTGAATTCCAGGATGGCTAGAGCTACTTAGTGAGACCCTGTCTGAACAACACACGCGCACACACACACACACACACACACACACACACACACACAGAGAGAGAGAGAGAGAGAGAGAGAGAGAAGAAACTTGAACCCAAATATTCACTCCTTTTTTTTTTTTTTTTTTCAAGACAGGGTTTCTCTGTATTGCTTTGGAGCCTGTCCTGGACCTAGCTCGGTACACCAGGCTGGCCTTGAACTTACAGAGATTCACTCATCTGCCTCTGCCTCCCAAGTGCTGGGATTAAAGGCATGAACCACCAATGTCTGGCCCAATATTCACTCCTTATTCTTAGCAGTCAACCTCATTCTTAGTCCTTTGTCCTCTTTCCAAATAGATGATCCAGACAAAAGCTGTTTCCAAACTATAACCCTGCATTCCCACTCCCCCTCCCTGTCTAATAAACAAACTCTCAAGCATTAGGCATAGCTCTGGGAATCCTGAAGAAGAGTGGTGGGTAGGACTGTAGGAACCAGAAGGGTCAAGGACACCTTAAGGAAACAGCCACAGAATCAACCAGAACTCATAGGGGCTCACAGAGACTGAACCAACAACCAACCATAGGCCTGACCTTGGTCCTCTGCATATATGTTATGGTTGTGTAGCTTGGTGTTCTTGAGTGACTCCTAACAGTGTTAGGCTGTCACCTTGTTCAACCTTAATATGAAGGTATGTGCCTAGTCCTGTTGTAACTTGATATGCCATATTTGGTAGATATTCCTGGGAGACCTGCCCTTTTCTGAAGGGAAGTGGAGAGGTAGTTGGGGAGAGGGGAGGTGGAGGAAGGAACTGGGAGTGGAGGGGAGGAGGGATGTAATATGAGAGAAGAATACGTAAATAAATAAATAATAAAGAAGAAAGACACTTTCCTTACTCAGTAACCCCCACCCCCGCTCTTTGTTCTGGTTCACATTTGTTGTGCCTCTTCTAGCTGTTTCCACAGCATTCTGTGTGCCCTCACCGTACCACTCTTTCATGTGTGTGTGTGTGTGTGTGTGTGTGTGTGTGTGTGCGTGTGTGACAAGAGCAGAGCTAAGTGTCCAAATGTATTTTGCCCCCATCTGCTCTCTGCAAGACTATTGAATAAACAAACTGCTTTATCTGAGGCTCAAACAAAGGACCAGGGATGCTGCCTAACCTGGAAGAAGACTTGATTCATGGAGGGATCATCTGTCCCCCGAGAGCACCTACTGCCCATGACCAGACACCATGACATCATACATTCTCACTGATCACATAAAAGTTGATCAGTGATTCACTCAGAGCCTCATGTTGAGTCTCTGCACATGAATAAAAGAACATCATGGAATAAAATTGAACAGACAAATACTTTTGAGTCTGTAGAAAGCTTCAGGGTGAGGACAAGAGCACCTCCCGCTGTCAGTGCTGTGGAAGTTGGCACTGCCTTTTTGAAGGGCACCTGGAGAGTTTCCACAAAAATCTAACCCTTAGAGGCCCTCTGGCCCAACTAGACAAATGCATGCATTCTGTTTTTCTTTCTTGTGATTCTTTTGCCTCCATCTCTCCAGTGTTGAAATTATTGACAAGCCTGGCTATCAGGAGCATCTAAAACTCATCCTGTAGGGTTGGCAAGATGGCTCAGCTAAAAAAGACAGACCATTCCTTACAACCTGAGTTCAACTCCCAGAACCTACATAAAGGTGGGAGAAAAGAGTTGACTCAACAAAATTGTCTTCAGTCAGGTGTGGCAAATACTACCACCACCACCTCCAACCAACAGTAATAATAAAATTAAAAATATCAATCTTGGACTGGTGGTGGTGGCACACACATTTAACCTCAGCACTTAGGAATAAGAGGCAGCTTGGTTTACAGAGTGAGTTCAAGGATGGCTAGGGTAAAAATCTATCTTGTTTATG